CATTCATTCATTCATTCATTCATTGATCACAGTGCACAGTTTAGCTGGGAATTCTCTACTGAAAAATGTAGCAATGGTAAGAAGCTCGCATGGCTTTAAAGAGTGATCAGACGAATTTGTGAAGAGGAGGCTATGAAAAGTTATTAGTCTTGATGTTTGTATTACGCATAACATCAATGGTATTACGCTTCTGTAGACTGGTTGTGAGGTAACACAAGCAGAATGGCGTGATCACACATATTCTGCTTGTGGACTTCTGAATCTTGGGCAGTAACCGCTACAGAATGCCAAGGTAGATTGGACAAGGACATAATACTGTATATTATCAGTTCCCACAATGGTATGACTGATCCGATACTCCTTCATGGATCAGGTGAAATTCACTTCATTAGGTAATGATCAGTATATAACCATGTAGAGATTATGTATCTGTTTATTTGCTTGCTTGCTTGCTTCATTTCTAGGCCCCTTTTCTCCCTGGATCACCCATGCATAATCATCTTCCTTCTGCCCACTAAAGAAAACAAAATCTAGAGTATAATTTGCCAGTTTCACAGCTATAAAACGAACTAGAAGAGTTCAGTTAAGCAGATCTTTTAAACTTTACCCCATTTCATTGTGTAGCAGAAGAACACAAAGCAATAGTGTAAATCTGGACACTAAATTATGATTAGGCCCTCCCAATCTGCAGTAGAAAAGCTTCTCTAACTGCAATGATGTGTAACACTAAATGTATTTGGTACTGTATCTTATAGGATCTCCACCTTCCTCTTTGCAGGTGGCATTAGAGAATGAACTAAAAGCCTACCAGAGTTGGTAAATAATACTGCAATGTAATATTCACAAAGAAGACCTTAAGCATGTAACAGGAAACATAACTTTAATGTTTTCCTTTTTAAATTGATTTAGTCTGGGTCAGGTATTTTGTATGTTTACACAAGAAAAAGCTCATGTTGAATGAGTTACTACTCACTGCTGAACAGGCATAATTTTGAGGTTCATTGTAAGAAAGTTGACCGTATTCCCTTACAGATCAGCTGAGATGTATAAAAGGCCATTGAAATCAGAAACAAAAAAATGTAAATTTTGTAAAAAGGCATAAACAATACTGTTATGGTTTAATCATATTTCTGACAGGAATATGATGACCCTGATATTGGGAAACTGTGAAGACAAGAGGACAATGGGACAACAAAGGTTGAGATGGTTGGACAGTGTCATCAAAGCTACCAACATGAAGTTGACCAAACTCCGGGAGGCAGTGGAAGACAGGAGGGCCTGGTGTGCTCTGGTCCATGGGATCATGAAGAGTCGGACACGACTCAACGACTAAACAACAACAACATGACAGGAAGTCATATTTTAACACATTTCTCCATTTTCTAAACCCACATAGTGCTAGAACATTTAGTTCCAAACGTATTGCTCTGAATCTTATAGCTCTCAGCTCCCTGAGAGATACAGCTTGACATACTACAGTGGGGTCTGGACTTGAGAACTTAATCCGTATTGGAAGGCGGTTCTCAAGTCAAAAAGTCTGTAGGTCAAGTCTCCATTGACCTACAGTGCATTGAAAACCGAATAATCCCGTAACAGGCCATTTTTGTTCCATTTTGGTTTTTTTCTGGTCTGTAAGTCAATTCTCAGGCTGCAAGTCAAACCTAAATTTTGCGGCCAGAGAAGTCTGTAATTCAAAAAGTATGTAAGTCAAGCCGTCTGTAAGTCAAGGGTCCACTGTATTTGCAGGGTTGCTGGGAAGGTAAAATACAAAGGTACTATAACTTGTCTATAACCAAAATCTAAAGAGCATGAGTTCATAATTTGCATGCTTAACTGATCCTCATCTTGCCCACTAGCAATGATGTTTAAACATTGGCCCACTGACCAGATATAAGACATTTGCATGAGAAAAGCTGCTGGCATATATATGCTACATTTCTTATTTTAAAATGCTTGAGAATAGAAATATTTCTACTGTGCTGAAGAATTTAAAGAGTGGGTTTCTGAGCAGGTGTCTCTATGACAACACCTTGTGGAAAAAAATCATATACCCTTCTATACTCTGGCCTTCAAGAAAAACATGCCTAGTGCACAATTTACAAAATTGCTGCAATGTTCAAACACATTTTCCACATGTCATATCTTAAAATGAGTATTTGTTATATGAGAATCTTTCCTATCCTCTTTAGAAATGTTCTGGCATTTGTTGCTGTATCTTTGTTTTCTTTTACCAAACCCCATAAAATTAAGCAAACCCCTCCCAAAACTGCCTTTCCATAAAGCTATTAATGTTGTGACAGTTGTGAAAACTGTGTATCTTCCTTGCTCCAATGCACCAGTCTATACTTTTAATAATGTATAGTCCTGTGCAGCTACATAAATGGCATGACTTTTGCAAGCAAATTGTCCCAAGTTAAGAAATCACTATCAATATTATCAGTTGCATTCTGAGTTGTGTGATTCAGCATGCAACTGATAATATCTAAGGTGACTTTTTAACTTGAGTCAATTGACATCCAAAAGTCATGATATCTGTGCAGGTGTACAAGAGTATTTCGACCAGTAATTAGAAATATAATAATAATACTTGTGCACCATCAAGTTGATTCTGACTTATGGTGACCTTTTTGAGGGTTTTCTAAGAGAATCCCCAAAAAAGGATTTGCCATTCCCTTCTTCTGGGGACATCCTGGGACTGTGATATGAGAAAGCAGATTTTAATAATAAAAAAGAATCAATAGTAAACTTCAGAATAAACTAGACTTGTTGCTGAAGTTCTGTCAATAGTTTCTTAATATTCATTTATGTGACATTGCCAGCCTGATTTGAACTAGGAATGTAGTTGTGGGGAAGGAGATTGATAAACTGGATGTTGAATAAGTAGGATATACTTTTATCTACATGAAGGTATTTCCCATGTTCTTCTGCTTGAAAATGATCATGTTCAGAAAAATTCAGATCAGACGAAATGGTCTGCTATTCATGATGCCCCTCAAGGAAACTCTTGGCGTCCTACTCAGTAGTATTTACTATGTAGCTTTTAAATGCCAGGCTAAGACCTTCATCTCCCAATAGGCATTCACTCCTTGGTGAACGCTTCTATTTTTTAAAAAAATTGCTAGCTTTTAACATTCTAACATTTTAATATTCTGACACTATTTGGCTGATTTTTTTTTTCCTTGCAAAATTTTATTTTTTGAAAAATACTATTTATTTTTGTATTTCTGAACTGCTCTAAAGGCACTGCCAATTGAGTATTGCATACACACTTTACATCAGCTGTTCCCAACCTTTTGTTCTCTGGGCCTTCAACATGGCCAATGAGCAGGGATTTGGGAAGCTAAATTCTGAAAAATATGAAGGATCAATGGCTGAGAACTAATGTTTTGAACATAAGAACAAACGAATGCACATCATCCATGACTGTCACAGTCTGCCTTCTACTTACTTGTTAAATAGAATTTATATGAAAAAAGTTTCTTCAGAGCCCACAGCATCCTTCATAAAAATCTTTGCTTTTCAATTTTCTCTTCACTAAATTGCAGACTTTATTTATTTACTTGTTTTATTTATTGGATTTCTATCCCACCCATCTAGACCAAAGGTCTACTCTGGTCTCCCTTATACAGACCTTTCCCTTACACAGACCTTCCTGTTCTTCCCCCTTCTGTCCAAACTCAATTAATGTCAGGTCTTTTAATCTCCCACTGTTCCTCTCCTGTAATGTTCCTCCTCTATATATGATCAAAGTATAAAGACACTGTGGTACACCAAGTGAGGAGAGAAACTGGCCTTGCCAATGGAAGTTTTACTTCCACCTTTTCCTGCAGCTCAGGGGCAAAGAACTCAACAGGT